GGATGGATTTGATTCAAGGGGAGATGTGAAAGTTATTATGGCCACAAACCAAATAGAGACTTTGGATCCAGCACTTATTAGACCAGGCCACATTGACAGGAACATTAAGTTCCCCCTGCCTGATGAAAAGACCAAGAAGTGCATATTTCAGATTCACACACGTAGGATGACTCTGACTGATGATATAACCCTGGACAACCTAATCATGGCTAAGGATGACAGGTCTGTTGCCAACATCAAGGCAATTTATATAGAAGCTTGTATGCTTGCCTTGAGAGAACATAGAACCAAAGTAACAAATTGGGACCAGCAGTTGGTGTAACGGCTATGTTGCTGGACTCCATGTAGTCGACCGCATTTTGAGTACTGGACACAGCGGCTTTAACTCATGCCGAGTGCGTGTGCATGCATTCTCCTAGACGAGAATGGAGAAGGGATTGCAGTGGGATCCTCCCTGGGGAGTGATTCCTTATTCCTTACTTTCTGTATTTCTGTCTTTCTGGCAAGTGCATGCATACTATAGCAAAAACCTCTCAACAACAACAACAAAAAGAAGCAAAGTAACAAATGAAGACTTCAAAAATACATGAAATAAACACTCTTTATTAAAAACAAAAAAACAAACAAACAAAAAAACAAGAAGGCATCCCCAAGGAGCTCCATCTCTAGCAAATCTAGCGAACAGCCATCGCCTTCAGGAAAGTGGTTGGCAGTTTTCCTGACCCCAGTGAGGAAGAAGGTTGGGAAAGTGCCCAGAGGAATCCATGTTCTGACTGAATTTTACTACGAACCTCCCATGTGTCTTCTGAAGTGTAATGTGGAGGACGCCCACTGGGCAGCCTTCATCTGCTCATCAGTGTGCAACACTCTGCTTCCCAATAAAGCATGCTCTTTCTCACACACACACACACACACACACACACACACACATACATATATATATATATATATATATAAACAGATAAGTGAAAAATAACCTGTAATAACAATGTATATGGTAATGTCTTTGACTTAATAATGTATTTATGCTGGGAAAAACGATGTTCTACATTGCAAAGATATACAGTGATTAAATGTGTGTGTGTGTGTGTGTGTGTGTGTGTGTGTTCATGCTCAAAATCCCAACAAGAAAATGGAAGAGGGATTGCAGCATGGTAACCCCCCCCCCCATGGGAGGTGATTTCTCTCTTTCTCCATCTCTCTCTGTTGAGTACATGTACCCTATAGCAAAAACATTTTTAAAAATCTCTGATAGATTAATACAGTTTATAGTATAGTTTAACAGATGTAGGGGAAAGCAGTATAGCATAGTGGTTAAGAGCACACTCTGGAATTTCAGAACTGTGTTCAAATTTTGATGCTGTGTGACTTTGTACAAGTCACTTAACCTAGTTCAACTTACTTCCTTATCTATAAAAATGAGAATAATAGTGTTATTTTATAAGGTAGATATGACAATTAAACATAACAATGAGCTATCATTCTTATCCCAATATAACAGAAAAATTTTAGTCGGACATGACAATCTTGTGAAATTCATGCCAGGGGCTGAGTAATCATCTTTTTCTTTATTTCATGCTCATCACTTATTCTTTTAGTAATGAATTGTTTAATTCTGAAATTACCTTATGTTTGCTAATCTATACACTGGGTCAAGAAGCTCTAAAGCTGGATTTTTGTTTTTCTTTTCTTTTTTCTTTAATATTGCCAGAAGCTTGCCTGAGACAGAGAAACAGAAAGGGAGACAGTACCCCTCAATGAGATGTGGTCATGTTTCCTTCTCTTTACCATTTCTCTATCCTGTTAGAATCTGGGGCACCCATGTACTCACATCTAGCATGTTTTTCAAGTTTCTGAGGCAGAGATTCAAACTGCAGTCAAGCATGTGAAATCTGGTTACATGAGGCCAACCCCAGATTTTAAAAGTGCTATCTTAGGGAATTCAATTTTCACATACTTTTTTTCACATACTTCAGTGTAGTTGCAATTATATGCCATAATTCATCCCCAGTTAGCAAATGTCCTGCATCAAACATTTTCCATCAGGCTAAATCTGATTCTGTGACTCAAGTTATCACTACACATGAGGCTAATGTGGGACAAACAACTCCTTTACTAAGGCTGTATTACCCAAACTTTCGAGTTTTTTATTTTTATTTTTTTAGTAGCTTTTGACAAGGGTTTTAACCACCAATCATTAATGTGTCTAAAGCCTAGGCAAGTATGTGTATCACCTGACAAAGTTTGCTCTTTGGGGTGGTTTTAGTTTGATATCTGCCAAATTCTACTTCTCATTTCTATTTTTATAAAATTGCTTTCCCCTGTCTTCTAGCAGATTTTTGGCACAATGGTAGCATGAGAACAGGTCCTTAATTGTTGCCTTTCCCACTATCAACAGAAGTTGGAAAACAAAAATTGAGTAAAACCTATACAAATAATGAGGATAACATAACTTTAAAAGAAATTTTGTAAAACATGATACTGATAGGATCATATTAAAGAATATCACCAACCTGAGGAAGTTCTGCGATATCCTTACGAACAGAAAAAATCTCGGCAGAAACCCACTAATACTATCTAGCTTAACGGAAAAAGGACTGGAGATGTAGGCAGACAATAAAAAGACTGTGATGAGACCCTCTCAGAAGCTGAGGGAACTCTGTGTAACTTTCATTTTATTTAAACCTTCTAATATATTTTTAAATAATACCAAATTAGAAATATCAAAATGGCCATTTTTTTGTTTTACTAAATTAAGCTTCATGAAACATTTTCCATCAGGCCTATCCGATTCTATGGTTTGAGTTAAGAATTCATTTGAGGATAATGTCTAAATTCTGAATTGAGTCCCTTTGTGAATATGAGACAAGCTAAATGATTCTCTCAACACCCCAACTTTGACATTGGGCTGGGCCCTAACAGGAATTACTCTATTTCATTCTATTTGGATACTGCAGATCAAGATCATTTGAAGGAAGTTATCCCTTCTTAGAGGGCAAATGCACGTGTCTCTCTGATGAAAATTTCTCAACTGACATGGTGGTCTCAACCTGATACAAGAGTCCCCTTGAATAAACCAACAAATTTGTTTCAGTGTTGGAATTCTGCCCCCTCCTGCCCCTCTCCACTCACATACAAGTAATAAAAGTACGTAAGATACAATGTACCTGAAGCAAAGAACAAAAGAACAAATGAGGAAAGTTATCTTGTGGTGAAATTCTCCTGCTGAGTTTGACTCTGGCCCTAGTTCCTTCCCCTACCTCATTGTGCTGGATCACACAGTCAGTAATATACGCTTACACCACCCAGAAATCCAGTAAGTTTAGGGAGTTGGAGAACAGTGAATAAACAAATCACTCCACTCTTACTGGAAGGAGAAGAACAGTAGATCAGTACATACCCTTCTCAATGCAATGATGAATAATGTATAAATTGTGGATCAATTTAGGTGAAGAAACTCCAAAACGAAAACAGAGCCTGTAAAAAGAAGTCTACAACATAATAGGAGGAAATTACACCATGCAAAAAATAACATCATGAGAGAACCAGCAGTTAGCGTAATGGCTATGTCGCTGGACTCCCACGTAGTCAACCGCGGTTCACGTCCCAGACCCGGTGGCTTAAAACTCACGCCAGGCGCGTGTGCGTGCGTGCCCCAGATCCCAAGAGGAGAATGGAGGAGAAGGGATTGCGGCGTGACCATCCCCCCTGGGGGGGTGATTTCTCGCTTTCTGTCTCTATGTCTCTCTCTGTCTGCGGCCTATAGTGAAAAAACCTCTCCAAAAAAAAAAAAATCATGAAAGAAGAATGGTTAAAAGTAACAAAAAAGGGTCCAAAATAAAGTTATAAACAAAAATTAATGAAGTAGAAAAATAATAATTTCATATATTAAAAGACCTGGATCTTTTCAGAAAGAAAACAAATTAAAAAATAGAAAAATATTTAGCAAAGCTCAATTAAAAAGTCTGTTCCTTAAATGTTTGAAATCTGCTACCAGAACTCAGATAACATATATGTTTTATTCATAAAATATATAAAAATAAAATCTATAGCTATTGATTTATTACTATTTTCTGCCTCCAGTTTTAGTGTTTAATTACATATAAAATCATGCACATCATTAAAATTTTTAAATTTATTAATGCAGACTTTATTTTTGTGTTTCTCTCAAACACCAAGCATAATTTGGCAGTGAAATAATAAGTCACCATTTTCTAATTGGTATTTTGAGGAACAGTGATAGACCAAATGTTCGTAGATACGTTTAAATGAAGAAAACAAACAAAAAACTAATTCTTTACTCATATAAGTCTGGGAAATGCTAAGTTAGACAAAGTTCTTTTTTTTAACTAAAAAAGCTATTTATTTTTTTAAAAAATATTTGCCAATATTTACTGCACAATGAGTCTCCAAAAGGAACTACAATATATAGCATTTTGCAAGCTTACTTGCTGGTCTCCAAAAGGGATTTTTTCCCCACAGAACACAATTTTGAATTGCTGTGGCAAACACATTCTGGTTATAATGAGAAACAAGACAATAATGCCACTGCTACCTTTATTATGTAGCACTGTTTTGGAAGTGTTTAACCATGCAGTCAGAAACCGTTACAAATTATGAAAAGGAGAATATTTAATTAATAACTTATCACTGATATGATTGCTTACCAGGAAAAATTCAAAAAGATCAACTGATTATTTCTGAAGCTAATAGATTTCAATAGATTGCCAATTTAAATAATCTATGAAAATAGTAATTCTCCTATATAGAAAAAAATGACCACATAAATAATACACTAAAAGTTCCCATTAGCAGTATCAGCTTGTTCCCTATGTCTGTATTATCTGGGAATATATTTATCACAAATTTTATAACACTTAAGTAAAACTCTCCTGAAGGATGCAAAAATCTGAAAATAAGGCAGCATATCAAGTTTCAGAAAAATAACACAATTCTGTAGTTCTCACCATCACATCTATTTAAGACAGTACAAATTAAATTTCAATTTATTTTGGGGGAAATATCTATTAACTGTAAAGTTCATCTGGTAAAGTAAACATCTCAGAATCACCAGAAAATTATAAAAAATAAAAAAAATCACTAGGAGGAAAACCTCTACCAAATATAAAGTCATATTTCTAACTTGATGACTATAGGCTGGGGTACTGGGGCTACAATGTTCAATGGAACCAGAGAGAATCCCAACACAGAATAAAGTGTGTGTGCGTGTGTGTACAGTATACATGCATGAAATTTCAAATGTGGTTGAAGGAGATAAATACCTGGCTAACAACTGGCTAAGAATTTGGAAGAAAAAAGATAAAATGCCTATGTCCATATATTGAAATAATTGAGATATACCATTTAAAAAATAAAACCATAAAAGTCGGAGAAATATAGCATAAGACTTATATAAACTTGGTGGGGGGAGGGGACAATCTTTCTAAATATGATCTAGAGCCAGAAGGCAAAAAGGAAAAGCTTTATTCATTTTCTACTTTTTTATTTTTTTTGTCATTTTTAATGCATTTTTCCCTGTATACAAGAGAAATAGCTGATAAAGTCAAAAGATACACATTTTCCTTTATACATAGCAATGAAAAGTAATGCAAACATCACATGACACTTTCAGTGAATGTTACATTTCCAATTACAAACCAAAATGCATATTACATCTCTTTATGGGAAAAGCTGAGAAAGAAGTCTTAGGTAAAAAGCACTTTCCTGGCATTACTACACTGATCCTTTAGATTGCACAAAGATTAAGGTCAGATACAGTCAATCTGCAAATGTTGACACAAATGTTACACTGTGATTTTTCTGTACAATTAAATATATACTTAGAAATACCAGGATAAACATTTCTACTATATTTTAACTGAACTTGCCTAGCCAACATTTTCACTGAGAAGTTCATCAAAGATGCTGTAAGATTCTACAAAATTGTGAGAAATACCTAGCTTCAGAAATATTTCTTGTATTCCTACGTATATTCTGCTCAGAGATTCTATTTTTCATTATTTCTAGATGTACTGTTCCAATTGTGCTTACTGTACTGTATACAAATATAGCAAAAAAGATTAATGAATAGTATAAATCTTACAGCATTTTGCTAGCAAAAATACATGCCAAAGTCACAATAAGCAACATTGTACCACAAATTAGAGAGCTTCAAATAATTTGCCTCTGTTTTAATCATCTTCATTATACATTAAATTACTATCATAGGCCAATGTTTAAAATGCAAATAAATTAAACATCTGTAAGACAAAACTTGCTTACTCAACTGAAACCTGTTTCCAAAAACCACAAATGCAGAATAAAGAGAAGTGTTTGCATGCAATGCCTCTGACTGAAACGGCATTGATTTCTACCATTCAAAACAGAGAAGGAAGGAAATCAAAGAAAGGAAAAAAAGGAAGGAAGGAAACAAAGAGCGAGACAGGGAGGGAAGAAATAAGAGAAGGAGCAAGGGACTCTACCTTAAAATACATATTAGATTTATAACCAGATAGATTTAAAAGAATCAAAATGAAAGCACAATTTTGTGTGTGTGTTTAAAGATTTAAGAGCCATTATCAAAAATAAGATACATTTTTTCTATCAAGGTACAGAAATGCAATTAAGACGGCTGGGATCCCAGCAGCCTCTCAATGGCTGCATTGATGTCACCTCCTGTTGCTATTAGGGCCTGCAAGTTTGCTTCCCGGTTTAAGAAACCCATTGCATTGAGTTGTTCCAGTTGTTGCTGAAATCTGACTTCTGGATTAGGCAGCTGTGGAGCATTTACTCCAGCCAGAGCCTGCACCATCTGCTGAATGAACTGCTGGTTGGGTCCAGACTCTGATGTTGGACTGGTAGTTTCACTGGGTGCAGAGCTGGACACAGTGGGCCCACTGGGGCTGCCAGAGCCCGTGGATCCAGTGAGGCCTGTAGGGCCAGTAGGTCCTATGGGCCCAATGGGGCCTATCGGGGTAAAAGGGACTATAGGGCCTATGGGGCCTATGGGAGTGACTGGGCCTACAGGGCCTATGGCAGTTCCCAGAACCCCAACTCCCACACCTGGTGTGAAGCTTGGAATGAGGCCAGGTGCTTCAGTGGCTAATGTCTGTAGCCCCTGCTGGATCTGCATTAAAGCCTGCATTGCTCTTGGATTTGACATGGCTGACAGTGTTTCTGGATTCTGCATCTGCTGCAGGAAAGCTGGGAGCTGAGGACGCATCTGCTCTTGCAGCTGAGGATTTGCTGTAAACAGTGGGCTATTCAGCATCATCTGTGTGGCCAAATCTGGATTCTGGCTCAGTGACTGCATCATGCTTCTCATGTAGGGTGCTGACAGCATATTCTGAATCAACTGGGGATTTTCAGTTATCTGTTGCAGAAGGCTCTGCATTCCTGGGGTACTGAAGATGCTGGCGACATAATTGGCTGCAGCCACAGTATTCCCAGTAGCATTACTGGAACTATTGCCAGACCCAATGCCACTGCTGGTGGTGGTGCTGGTGGTTGCAGAACTCTGGGTAGCCGTCAATGGGGCCCATGGATTGGGTAGGGGATCTCGATTTTCCGTGCGAGATGGCTGCGTACCTTCTCCAGAGGAAGAACTGCTCCCCACCGAGGCAAATGGATTACCCCCAAACTGCTCTTGTGCGGCATTCAGCATCGGTTCTTGAATGTCAGTGTACATGCGCCTTAGAGCATTATAGCCACCTGGAATGCTTTCAAGATTGCTGAGAGCCAAGTCTTGATTTCTCATCATCTCTTGCATCATGGCTGGATTCCTGGCAATTTCGAGGGTCTGCCTCATAATATCTGGATTGTTGAGCAGGTGACTGATTTCTGGGTTTCTCTGTATCAGTTGTTGCATCTGTGGATTAGCCATAATGAGCTGCCTCATCAAATCAGGATTTGAAAGCATGCTCTGAACAAAGGGATTTTCCATGATTTGGATCATCATCTCAGGGCTAGCCATGAGCTGCTGCTGCATCTGGCTCTGGAGCTCAGAGAAGTTGGTTGAGCTCAAGCCTAGGCTGCTAAGGCCTGCAAGTCCTCCCAGGTTCCCCAATCCAAATGGGTTGCTATTTGTGGAAATAGGTGTGGAGTTACTCCTGGGAGTCGACACGGACGTAGTATTAGTTCCCGCGGCATTGCTAGGCTGCGTGGACTGGCCCTGAGGTCGGTTCTGGCTTTTAATGACAAGGTGAACAGTCAGTCCATCATGAATGCCATGCTGGATCAAGGTTTCTTGATCTTTTAAGATTTTCCCCGCAAAAATCAGCACTAGTTGGTCGGTTTGGGATTTGAAGCGTTTCGAAATCGCTTCCTTAAACTGCTGGACCGAGCTATTCTCAGGCACGGCGAACTCCTCTTTCTCTTTGGGGGTCTTCACAGTAACTTTAATGATTTTGGGCTCAACCGGAGCAGCGGCCGAGCCCTGGGCCGTAGCAGGGCCGCGGGAGGGGCGCGGGGGACCACTGTTCTCGCCGTTTTCAGCCATGGCGGCCGCAGTGACGCAGGCGGACAGGGAAGGCACGGGCAGGCGAGAGAGAGAGAGAGCGAGGGAAGGAGGAAGGAAGGAGGCCTCGCGGGCTGGACCGGACAGGGACGGGCCGAGCGAGGAGCGCGGAGCCCTCCCCGCCCCTTCCCCTCCCCCAGTTCCGCGTTCCCCTCCCCGCCCCCTTCTGCTGACGCGACGTCAGGCCCGGATTGATAGATTTGACTCGGTCAAAAATGAAACTTCGGCACTGAAAAGAAGAGGAAGAGAGAAAGAAACAAAGAGAGAAAGAGAAAACTGAAAGATTAGAGAAGACTATGAAGACAAAGCAGGGTCGAAAGAGGGAGGGTGAAAAAGGGAGGAGAGAGGGATCAAGCTTCTGTAAATGCTATTAAAAATAAAAAAAAAAAAAAGACAATATATATTAGCAGTCTGTAAGACACTGAAAAGACGAAAGCTCAAATTGAACCTGTCCCATAGAAAAGACTAAATAAAAATAATAAAGGACTCTGACAAAACAAAAAGGATAGAGGAACATCCCCAATGGAGGAAGGAGGAAGGCAGGATGGAAGCTTGCCTTTCACAAAAGAAGTGCAAATAGCCAACAGGCATATAAACGGATGGTTAAACTCATCAGTAATCAATGAAATCCACGTTAAGACAATGAAATTCTGTCTTTGACTTTTCATATTGGCAAAGATAAAAAATAATGATAAACCTTGTTGACAAGGAGGTGAGAAAATGCACTCTCACCTTAGTTGAAGTGTCAATTGTTACTGTCTTGGGGCAATTTTAAAATACCAAACAGCATTCTAAGTGGTTCCACCTTTATTTAGAAATGCCCTATCTAGAAACTTCTGCTACGAAAATAATTGAATAAAAATGTAAAAAATATATATGTTTACTGTTTAAAAAATGGGTGGTTAATTTATATGATATACAGTATATTTGAAAGTATATGTGAAGTCAACTGGGGCACACTGGTTTTACTTTTTGCTGTATATATTTCTATACAGTTAGAAATTATATATACATGTATGTTTCAATATAAAAATGCATTTTTTAATTTCAAAACTAAAGGTTTTTTTGTTTGTGTTTTTGTTTTAGTTTTCTTGTCATAAGGTGCATGTGTGTGCTTGCTTGCCAGAGAGAGACAAATATAGCATGAAAGTCACCCCTGTCCCCGGGGAAATGGCCACATTGCAATCCCATTTCCATTCTGCTTTTGGGATTTTAAGCATGCACAAACCTGTGCCTGGTGTGATTTTCACACCACCAGGATTAGAACTCAAACCACGGAGACCATGAGGAGCCCAGTGCCTTAACCTCCACACCACCTGCTGGCCCCTAAAACTAATTTTTGAAGTTTGTTGTATATGTAAACTATGTATATATGCAAAAAAAATATTGGAGGGCTATACACCAAGATGTTAATGGTGGTTATTGCTGAGTGCCAAAATTATAAATAATTCTTTGTTTCTGCTTTTATAAGACTTTTAATTTTCTAATTTTTATAAGTATAAAATGCATTTATTATTTTTAAATAATCAGAAAGTTTTTTCAGAAGATGAGAATAGGTAGAAATTGACAGGCACACAATAGTTGTAAGTTACAGACTTTAACCTAGTTGTTTAATCACATTACAGCTTCAATAGAAGTACAGTGGGAGCACAATGCTCTTCAATGCTGGGAGATATAAGAAAGATGTAGATTCTCTTTTGGGTCAGTCAACTTGTATACTCCTATTATTTTATTTTATTTTTTTTTACATTCAATAACAGCATACAAACAAATTTTTCTAGCATGAATAAACTGTATACTAGTCCAGTCAATGATATTACCGTACCAGTGATCAAAATCAGATAATTTTCCATTTTTTTGTCTTTTAATGTTTTGCTTCTTTCTTTTTCACCTTTATTCCCTTCCTCTCACCCAAGCCCATTTCCCATCCTCCTCCCATACTGTCTTCAGTAGCCACAGTTGCTCTCCATGTTTTTACTTTCCAATCTTTGAGTTTCTGTCATAGAGTGCAGACATTTGATATATATTAAGTGGAGATATATGATGCCTCTCTTTCATAGTCTATCTTGCTTTGCTTAGCAGTAAATCTTCCATATTCATCCACTTTCTGTCAGAAGCCAGGATCTCAATGATTTTTTATGGCTAAGTAGTGTTCCGTAGTGTTTATCTGCCACACCTTGTCAATCCATTTGTCTATTCATGGATATTGGGTTGATTCTGTCTTAGCAATTGTGAATAATGCCATGATAAACATGGATGTGCAAGTACTTTTCCAATTCAGTGTGTCTTATCCTTTAGGTAGATACCCAAGGAGTGGAATAGATGAATCATATGGTACTTATATTTGTATGCTTTTGAAGAACCTCAATATTTTTCTCCATAGTGGCTGTACTAATTTACATTCTCACCAACAGTGTAGGAGAGTTCCCTTTTTAGTACAACCTCACCAGCACTTTTCATTCTCTTCTCTTTTTTTTTGAGAGGTTTTTTTTCTATAGTGCTTACATGCACTCACCAGAAAGAAAGAGACAGAGAGACAGAAAGTGAGAAATCACCCCCCAGAAGGGATGGCCACACTGCAATCCCTTCTCCTCCATTCTCCTCTCTGGATCTTGGGCATGTACACACACGTGCCTGGAGTGAGTTTAAACTACCAGGCCCAGGACTCGAACTGTGGTCGACTACAACAGTGACATAGCCATTATGCCAACTGCTGGTCCCTCTACTTTTTAAAATCTTAGTTATTCTGGCTAAAGTAAGGTGTTATCTCATTGTGGTTTTGATTTGCATCTCCCTTATGATGTGTGATGTTGAGCATTTTATCATATACTGTTTTTTTCATTTAAATTTATTTATTTACATTCATTCACCACCCTTTTCCTACACTGTCTCTGGTATCCGTGGTTGCTTACTATGCCTTTCCCCCCATTTTATTGATTTGCTAATGAACTTAATTAATCTAAGTATTTCTAATAGCAAGTGCAGCTGATATATACATATCTATGAACACAAGTCTGACTTCAGGCATAAACCTCAGTGAGTACAATGAGCATACTATAAAGTAGCATCTAGCTGGGGCTATATAGCTTACTACAGTCATCAAATATGCATTTTTTCCTGAAACTTTTTTTTAAATTAATTAATGTACATTCATCCCCTAATCATTGTCACAGCATACAAAAAGTGGTTTCCCATCCAGAATATACTGCATAGTGGTTTAATCATGTTACCATCAATAATTTTCCATTTCTAGTTTTATGCATATATATTTATATTTACCCCTATGTCTGACCCTCTGCCCTTTCCCACCCTCTTCTCACACTATCTCTGGTGTCTACAGTTGTATCATATACTTTTTGACTAGTCATGTATCTTCCTTAGAGAGCTTTCCTTTCAACTCCTTTGCTTACCTTCCATTTGGGTTGATAATTTTCTTTTGGGTAAGCTGTTTGAGTTCCCTGTATATTTTAATAATCAGTCCCTTATCTGAGGCATAGTTTGTAGATATATTCTCCCATTCCTAGGGTTTTCAATTCATTCTAATTATTGTTTCTTTTGCTGTGCAGGTTTTAACCTGATGCAATCTCACTTTCCTATTTTTGAAATTATTGTCTGTGCTTTGGAAATCTTATTCAAGAAGTCTTTGCCTACTCTGATGTCTCCAAGAATTTTGCCCATGTTTTCCATGAGTAGATTTACAGTTTGAGTTCTTAGGTTTGGATCTTTGATCGATTTTTAGTTTTTTTCTGGTTAATGGTGAGCGAGAAAGGAGTCCAGTTTCATCCTTCTGCAGGTGTAAGGCATTTTCCCAGTTCCATTTACTAAAGAGTTTTTCTTTTCACCACTGGATTTTCTGGTGCACTTTGTAAAAGTAATTTGGCTCTGTTTTAGGGATTATTTCTAGGGTCTCTTTTCTCTTCCATTGGTCTATATGTCTCTTTTTGTGCCAGTGACATGCTGTTTTGATTATCACCAATTCGCAATCTATTATGGGGACAGGGAGTGAGATGCCTCCTTGTACATTCTTGTGCAGTATTGCTTTGATGATAATAGGGTCTTTTATATTCCAGATGTATACTATGATTGTTTCTGATAAATCTTTGAAGAATGTCTGCAGTAATTGGATTAGGATTGCATTAAATATGTAGAATAATTTGGATAGAATTGACATTTTGATCATATTAATACTTCCAAAGCAAGAACATGGGATGTCTTTCCACTTTTTTGTGTTTTTTTTTTTTCAATTTCTGTTTTGTTTTTCATAGTTTTCCTTGTAAAGGTCTTTGACTTCTTTGGTTAGGTTTATTCCTAGGTATCTTATACCTTTTCTGGGTATCATAAAAGGAATTGCTTTCTTCAGTTCTACCTCAGTCTGCTCACTGTTCATATATAGAAATGTTATAGACTCTTGAATGTCTAATTAATTAATTAATTAATTAATTTTAAGTCTTTAATAAAGTTTTTTATGTCATGTATTTAAAGAAAAACAATTCAAAAGTTATGTAAACAATCCAGTCAGTAAAATTTTATCTTTCAGATCATATCATTCTTTTTCAAGATCTGTATATATTCATGTGATGAGACAGTTTGACTCATTGGTAAATCTTCAAAGCAAAGGTCTACATTATCCAGATGCAAGTTGGGTAGTAGCTTCACTTAGTTCTCTGCACTTTTTAACAATATCACATATGGAAAAAGTAGTTCCCTATGCTGTTATTGGAAGGCCATGAGATTGAGGTAGGAAGCACTGATGTTTATCTTGAAATAAGATTTCTGATGTGCACTAAACTATTATCAGAATTTCTAACATGAGGTGACTCTAGGAATGGTCTTGTAGTAAGACTATTGAGTAAAGATCTATTCTGCTATTTCTCCACAAGACATTTGTCACTGACCACTGTTAACTTTGGATTAGTCTTGTTCAATTTATTTGATAATGATTTTCTAAATTGTGATTCTTCTAGATAAAGTTGCTTATATTTTTAAATTCTCTGTTGGGACAATCATCTTGAGAAGCTCTTATTTTGAAGCTTTTGGATTCTAGATCTTTCATTCTGGGTTCCATTTGACTTCTAAATGAAGCATAATTATTCTCTCTTAACTGCTGTTAA